TATTTATTTACTCGATAAGCTCTTTCACCACGTCCTCAACTCTGGTGATAACTTGCCCACTGGAAATACGTCTAATAGTATTACTATCTAATGATTGAATCATTTTTATTAACCCTGCAAACAAGAACAACGTGTTTTGATTCAAGGAACCAATACTAATTTAGGTGGCTTCACTGTCACGTGGAAATGCTTTTACGAAATACGTCGCGTGCAAATTATTTCCAGATATCACAATTTATTAGAAGAAATTTTGGGTACTGTAATCTATACTCGTGACTCCTGATCTTTGATGTATTAGAAAAGACATTTAACTTTTGCCTTGGTCGCGTGCTTTTAATTCTGGGGATTCTGTAACCCCGAATCCCCCATTGGTGTATAAACTAAAAAATATTGTAATCTTTAAATTCGTCTTAGTGCATTACTAACTGACCGTTATTCGCAAAATGCTCAAGATTCTGGGGTACTTGTTCCTAGAGGTGCAGACATATTGTCGTAATTAGGTCGTACCTCAATAAAAATAATCTGTTTTAAAATAGATCGTAACTAATTACGGTCTGCACCTCTACTTGTTCCTATATCCTTTAGGCTTTGGTTTCCATATCGATATATTATCAGTTATTAGAAAATACGGTAGTCTTGATATAATCTGCATTTTATACGTCTCAATGTGTTCTCGTGATACATGTGCATTGAAGATCTTTAAAATAATTATTAGTTTTCAACATTTTTGTTTAATGTGACTTTTAGATTTTTTTTTCGAAATGTCCCTTAAACCATATCAACGAGAATTTATAGAATTTGCCATTTCACAAGAAATTTTAAGTTTCGGATCTTTTACATTAAAATCTGGTCGTAAAAGTCCATACTTTTTAAATGCTGGTAAATTCAATAAAGGTAGTGCATTATCCCAAATCGGTAAATTCTACGCAGACACTTTACAAGATGCAAAACATCTAGATTTTGATGTAGTTTTTGGTCCTGCTTATAAAGGTATTCCATTAGCTTCTTCAACAGTTATCGCTTTATTTAAACATTACGACAAGGACGTTCCGTATTCGTTTAATAGAAAAGAGATTAAGGATCATGGAGAAGGTGGAAATATTGTTGGAGCTCCATTAGAAGGAAATATTTTAATAATTGATGATGTTATTACGGCAGGAACAGCGATTAGGGAATGTTTGAAAATTATTAAAGAGAATGGTGCAACTCCAGTTGGTATTATTATTGCTGTGGACAGGCAAGAGCGAGGAACGGGTGAAGTTTCAGCTGTTCAACAAATTGAAAAAGAATACGGTATTCCTGTGATGTCTATCGTTAATTTGGAACTGATCATTGAGTTTCTTAATGAACGGGGCGGGTACGATGAACATTTGTCAAATATGAAAGAATATAGAGACATGTATGGTATCAAAAAATAAACGTTTTTATCATAATGTCAACTATTCAAAGTTCTTGGCATTTGAAGTAAAAGCTGTTTCCACTTGTAGAAAGGATAGCATATAAAACAACATATAACTATTTATAGAATTGTATTTGTGAATTTTTTCCTTTTAGTAACTTGTGATCTACGAAGACTGCTAGTCTGTTTTTATCTAATACAAAAAAAAAAAAAAGCATAAAGAAAATGTTTACATTTAGAGAATTGCTAATCTTCACCGGAGGTAACGTACTAGCTAACACACCCCAGGGGTATGTTCAGAACCCCAAAAACCTTATGCTAACTAAAATTGGGGACCTAATATCTAACC